TCTGTTAAATTTTGGTACTGTTAGTTTTTACCTTGGATATAATGCAATGCAGGATTTTTTTCCTACTATGTCCATGAAGCCAAATCCTCAGTGTGATGACAGAAATTGCAGGAAGCAGCAGGAAGAATATAAGGTATACATCAATCCATCAGAATGCATGAGAGGTCATATTATTTGGACAGTAATTTAAAATAGTTATTTAGATTTGGAATACAAGATAAATGGATTCTGAATTTTGCAAGTTTTTTTTATGGTATCTCTAATGTGGAAATGTTAGTAAAAAATTCACCATGCCTCAAAAGTAAAAAAATCTTTCTGAAGTCCTTTCTTGCTTTTGGTAAAATAAAAAGCCTATCTGAATTCTTGCTCAATGCTTCAGAGGCCTGAGAGTAAGAACACTTTGATACTGTTTGATTTCTACAGAAAAAGGTAGCAGCACTGCCCAAACAGGAGGCTACTCAAGAAGAGGAAGAGATAATACATGAAGACAATGAATGGGGTAGGAATTCTTTCATAAATTGAAATGGCAGTGTCAAATCTCTTATGGAAGGGAATATAATTATAATTATACAAATTTTGAGTAATTATTGTTTATTAAGTTCCTTGAAAACTTGTAAGATCAAATTTAACTCTATAGGTATTGAGTTGGTATCCGAGGTTTCAGAAGAGGAACTGAAAAATTCTTCAGGTCCAATTCCTGACTTACCCAAAGGAATTACAGTGGCATACACAATTCCCAAAAAGGTACTTCCAAAATCTGATTTACCATAAGTAAATGTTATATAAGAGAAAGTTTATTTATCTTTTCATCTTTATCCTATTTTATAATGCCAATGCAGTATTTATTGTTTTAGATATTTTACGTTATAGGCATTAAGATGTGTAAGAGAAGGTGTTCAGTGTTAATGTGGAAATAGGCACAGTGCCTTTTAAACTCTTTGAAACACAGACCTAAAATAGTGTTATTGACTCATGAATGGATCAGATAGATTTTGATTAAACGAAGATAACATTTTTGTATGTTGAGCATTTTAGCCCTTAATACCACTTTAAAAATACCATTGCAGTAGAGATCTCAAGAATGTTGAAATTACTGTCTTATAAATCAAAAGATTGGTGGGGAAAGTAAAGGATTTTGTCTGTCCTAAAAATTAGAAGGCATATTTCTTAAAGTTTACTTTGTAAACTAGTTGAACATGGTTAAAACTTAGTGATTATATATTCCTAAGCATCACAAATTTTATATGGTTATTTTTTCACTATGTTTCCCTCATTTGTTGATAGCAAGAAGATTCTGTAGCTGAGGCAACTGTGGAAGATTCTGGTGAAAGCTTGGAAGACCTTATGGCCAAGATGAAGAATATGTAGATAATAGACTGACCTATATTTTATTTCCTGAGGTTAGGCCTATTCCCTTGCAATTAAAAAAATCATTTAAAAATTCACAGAACTTAGGGCAACATTAATTGATACATAATCTTCACAGAATTGTTACACTTCTTGAAAAGTGTTGTTTGTAGCTTTTTTCCCTTCAACTAAATCAGTAATTCCTAAAACTCATGTTTCATTCTAGTTAAGAAAACTTGAAAATTTAGCCACTGAAATGCTTTTGCCTTTTGGGAGGGGTGGGAAGAAAGGACCAATATGATGCTATATTTGTTTTCCTTCCAGTAATCCTTTGTGGTCTGTTGCCCAAGGCCATGGATAATAAAGTAGTATGTGGTTCTCAAATATAGGGAAAGGACAGGAGGTACATCCAATTGATTAGAGCTAGCAGGTATCTACTCACTGTATTTAGAATCTTTCTCTACAAGAACACTATCCACTATTATTAACTTGGCCAACAGTGAATTTAAAATAGTTAATCTATAAAATAAAAAATATCCTCTCAAATGTTACCTGACTAAATACAAGCTAAAATGTAGTCATTGGAAAAGTTTGTAAACCTGTGAATTCAAAACAAGACAAATGCAAATAAAGTAAGCTTTTTTCATGGATAAACAAATAAAGGTACTTCCAGGAAGTACAAATTATTATATTTCTGCCCTGATCAAGGAAAGAAATCCTTGCATGTGTAGAACATATATCTGGAGTCACTACACTTTATTGAGGAGTAAGGAATAAATTTAGTTTAAGATCATCTAGATTATACCCGTCATATGGGCTACCTTCTGAGTACTTCATTTAAATTTGATTTTCTAGATAATTAGATAGTTGTCCTGTGTTGGCATAAAAGAGACCTAAATTACATCTGTAATGACTGACATGTATTTATTCACTAGAAGGGTATCATTTACCCTGATCATTGACCACTAAATTATAAACTGATAAACTGTTTTTTCTAAAGTTGCATACAAATAATGAAAGCTTAAGAGAGCCTTAGTTAAATTCCCAGTGGTTTGGAGACCAATAAAAAATATGCACGTGTAACCATTATCAGTAGGATATTACTATGCTATGTTAATCTTCTGTTTTGATTTTTTTACTTTGAAGATATGAATGAATAAATTGTATCTCTAGGGAAGAAATGTTAATACAAAATGAAAAATGCAATTTCCACTTGTAAAATAAAGTTCTAAAAACTGATTTCAGAAAGTCCCAAATATCAAATATGTTCAGTATATTTGCTTTGAGATCCTAGAATCTATAATTATAGTGATTCTTCTGTTTAGAGTAAGGTCAGGAAAGAGGGGGATGGTAGCCTTGAAACTTATTTATGTTGCCTTGGTAGGTCATTTGCCATTAAAAAAGAAATAGTGAATTCATCTGTAAAGTAGTTTTTTCTAGTTACTCGAGATGTTTTGAACTTCAAAAAAGAAATATAGTCTTTCTAAAAATAACCCCATTCTTTTGGAACATCTGGTATACTGATTTGGTAAGGCTTTGCTTATAATTTTTTTTTTTTTAAAGTAAGCTCCACCTCCAGCGTGGAACCCAGCACGGGGCTTGAACTCACGACTACACTTTGCTTATGATTTAAAAATTGTATAGTTTGATGAAGTATAATAGCCAGAACTCACCTTTGTTCTGCTCTTAACATGCCATTGCACACTGCTGGTGTCTTATACTGTATCAACTATTACCTAAGTTATCTAATTTGTGTAATGTCTTCCATTAAAAAATAGTTGGATGATTTTACCAGAAAAAACCTGGTAACAGGTATCTTTTGCTACCTGGAGTGCTCTCTTAACAGTCTGTATGCCATGAAAACTTACATATAGTAGCCAATTATGAGAAATTAATCATCACCGAGTTTTATATTACTAAATAAATCTGTAGTGCTTGACCATATTTTTAAACACTGTTGTTTCTAATGTGAAAGAATGAAACACACTCCCCAAATTGCCATAGCACAAAGGCTCTAAATTACAGTAAAACAATATGTTCAGCTTTAACCCCTTCCCCATTGTGAATGGGAAGTTTTAATTTATGTACCACTTAAATGTTTTATGTAGTGAAAAAAATATGCATCCTAGGTTTTCTCACATAAAATACTTGTTGAATACCTATAAACACACCGATCAACACAAAAAAGTAATAACCATTTAAGAATATTAAGGAAGATTTAACCCTCCAATTGCAGTTTTTTTCCATATTTCTCTTTCTGCCACTCTTAATGAAAATTAACTATAACTACCATTATCTGGTTCCTACCAATTCAGATGTAACTGAGTTGTCTGAAAGCTACCTTTTTCATCATGAAGGTGTGTATCAATGTGAACATATTTCTATTAGAGAACCTCAAATACAAAGAGATGTCTGTCCCAGCTTTTGTTTTTTTAAGATTTTATTTATTAGAGAACATGAGTGGAGGTGAGGGGAAGAGGGAGAAGCGGACTCCTTGCTGAGCAGGGAGCCCGATGCTGGGCTTGATCCCAGGACTCCAGGATCATGACCTGAGCTGAAGGCGGACACTTAACCGACTGAGCCACCCAGGCGCCCCTATTTTTAGCTTTTTAAGTAGACACTTTACATGAAAACATTTTAGTTGGTAGTACAATAAGGTCAAAATGCAGCTTCAAAAGTATATTTAAATTTAAATTTTATGAAATATATGGAGTCCTCAACCCCTAACTGTAATTACGAATTTTTACCATAAATCACTTTGAATGCTATTATATTTCCACTATGTTTTTCAAGTCCAAATTTTGTGGGGACAAAGAATAAATGCCTATTATTCTTTTGCTAGTTTTTCCTTTTTTCAGGGTTCTTCTAGAATATTAATCTCAGATTATTTCCTAAAGCAGTTTTTTTTTAAGGGCATTAAACTTAATATACTACTTATAGTGTATTAAATTACTATATTACCAGATAATCAAATTTTAAACTTTAGTAGCTTAATTCTGAAATCAGTGTATGGTAATTTGTGAATTTAATTACTTTGTGCCTGTCATAGCTGGCAAACCCAGAAAGATGTACTATGGTCATATTTTATCTTCTTTCCTTTTGAACTTCTTTCAAAAGGGGAAGAAGGATGCTCATTTTATAAGATCCTGCCAAATTCTTATAAGTCACCACTATAGTGCCTTAAAATCAGACCATTGCTTCTCAAACTTAGGTGCATATGAACCACCTGGAGATCTAGCCAAATTGCAGATTCTGATTTAGTAGGTCTGAGGAGAGGCTCTAGAGTCTTAATTTTTCATAAGCTAATTTTTCATATTGATGATCCCAGTTCATGGACCACCCTGTGTGTAGCCAAGCCTTACAGAACATTAACCAAAACCCAATAAAGTTGCCAAAACTTAATTTGAGCAAACTATTCAGTATGGATATTTTTCAAGTATTTTTTGTAATGTTCAAAGTATTAATTATGTAACTACAACTCTTGTATAAATTGAAGTGGGAAAAAATACCTTGAAATTGCACTTTTATTTTAAAACAGTGAAGTATGGTTATATCTTTCACCTTTATAATTAATATGTTGGAATCTTAAAGGTATTAAAATTGAAGGTTTTATTATGTTTCTATATTATGTATAAATACATAAATGGCACAAAACCAAAATGTGACAACTTTTATAAAACCTGTAAAACATATTTCATTTTCAATATAAAATAGACTAATCTGAGTTTGAGATAAATGAAGAGATAGATTTAGGCCATTTAAGAAAGAAGAGGAGACTGTCATGTCCCTATTTTGGGGAAGGTCAAAGAATGCTAAGAGCTTGACTTACTGCATTAAAAACTTCAGATTATGGAGATACACAGAACACAACAGAACAATGTAGAGAGAGCAGAAAGCAGAGGGCTTGGCCCAGTCTGCTCATGGAAAAGGTAGACTTTTTTAAAAAATGTAGCAGTCAGAGACAACTGTTACTAGTTCATTTTACAGAAAATAATTAAAACCTTCCATGAACATTATCCCTTTATTTCTTGAAACTTTTCTTTGAGGTAGAGATTTGGGCCAGGCTACTGCTGAAAAGCACAAGCAGGAATGGTGAGGCCAGGGTAGCTCTTGAGAGATTAAAGAATTATGGAATTGAACTCCTTGTCTTCACAGCTGTGCCAGCTCTTCTTGAACAGAGAACAGCCACTCTTCATGATCAATTCTTCATGTCATTTTAGGGTTCTAATGTGTCCGCATCCATGGATCCCACACATTAAGAAAGTTAATTCTTTTAAGCAGCTAACACTGACACAATCATGACTCAAACTTGAACGTAGTCCTATGCAATTTTAGGCACATGGCAGTTAAATCACACAAAATAAAAATAAACTCAACATTTTTTTGTTTTAAATTCTTAGGTTCCAAATATTTCTTAATTATTTTATCCTAAGGTGCATTTGCAATGAATTGTAATTGCTATTACCTCTGTCCTTGAAGGAAAACATTAGGAGAATGGGTTGTTTTTAAGCTAAACGTGTCTCCACTTGAGGAGTGTCGGGAAGGAGCTTTTCCACCCAAAAGTGACGTTTCTGCTTCTTTTATTTCCATCGCCCTTTTGTATAGTTCAGCAGCTTTTTCAAAATCCCCTTCTTCATAGCTTTGAGAGGAAAAATTGTTAAAATGAGAATATGCCCTCTTAAATTGAAATGACCTTATAGGATACAGAATAACAAGTTGTGAATAATTCCCCATTTTCTCCTTTCTGTTTCCAGCGTGTGCATTCACTCAGGCAGACCAGTAAAATAGAATACCCAGACTCTTCTTTCTATCTGAACTGCTAAAGTATATCTCAGTGCCTCATACAGACACCATTAAGACCATGTTGTAATGGACGCAGTGGAATTGCTAAGGCTCTGCATCCTGAGATACACAAACACAGAGCAAAATCAACAGGCGCTTTCTTTTTTTAGAGAGAAAAAGTGTGCACACGGGATGGGGGGGAGGGGCAGAGGGGAAGGGAGAGAGAATCTTGAACAGGCTCCAGGCCCAGCGCGGAGCCCAATGCAGGGCTTGACCAGGGCTTGGTCTCACAGCCCTGAGAGCATGACCTGAGCCAAAACCAAGAGTCAGATGCTTAACTGACTGAGCTACCTAAGCACCCAAAATCAACATACACTTAATGGTAAATAGTTTTTGAGGGCAGCAAATTGCCCATATTACCCCCAGAACCAGTTAGCTGCAAATGTAAATCATCTTTCACTATTTACATGATACATTCCTTTAGAAAATAGATTATGCAACATTTATTTCACTTCTGAATACTACTTTAGTATCTTGAAGTAAAGCAACCCAAAACAACCCCTTCCCCTCTTCTAAGAAAAAAACAATTAGCACTAAATATTGTGTTATTCTATGATAAGTCAAATTAAAGTTGTTCTAAAATGGAGTTTGGCTGTTACCAGGAAACAGGAAACAAAAAATTCTTACCTAAGCACGGCTAAATTTTTTAATGTTTCTCCAACTCGAGGATGCATCCGACCCAGGCTGTCCTCATAAATCTTTAATGCTCTTTCATATAATGGCAAGGCTTCAATGTGTTTTTTCTTATTAAAAAAAGCAGTAATATTCACTTAAACACACTGAGTTGCTGAAATTACTATTAACATTCTAGACTAAGCTGATCTACTGGGGTAAACCCCTTTAAAAATGTTAATATCCTCCTACAGATTAAAAATCTATTACTAATCATCATGGTAGAAGCATATAATAGAAAGTCAGAAACCTAAGTTTTAGACCCAGCTTGGTGACCACTGAACTTAATCCAATAATATAAGAAAAACCTGTTTCCTTATTGCTCAGTGGGTAGGATACCTGCTTTTCACCTATCACAGGCAAATGCCACAGCTTAAAGATAGTATTAGACAAAGAGATGTACAGTCTCCAGAATTTAAAAATGAAACTCAGGCAATGAACTAAATAAATACTCAGTAGTGTTTTACACTAAGAGGAAAGGACCGTGTTACAAATGTAACTTCAATAATTTCTCAAGTACTAAAGGAAGCATTAATAATCTTAAATTTTCTTTAGTTACTTTTACTGTGCCACATCTATTTCATGTTTATGTTTTATAACTTAGAACTATTCATTAAGAGTTAATATGTGGGAACTTACCATTTGGCTATAGAGAACAGCTAAGTTCACCAGGGCAGTAGCTACACTGGGGTGCTTTGGGCCAAAGGATTTCTGCCGAATTTCAACAGCCAGCTCATACAAAGGTACAGCTTTGTCAAGTTTCCCCTAAAAAACAAAAGTGAAATCTAACAAAAATATTAAAATAATAAATACCATCTGATCAAAGCTTTTTCCATAAATAAAATTTTCTTTTAAAGAGTAATTTTGAGGAAAAAATTTCAGAAACCTCTTCTCCCACTTTAATGGTTCAGTTTATAGATAACCGAAATCTATATTCAGTTTTTAATCACCTACAAACTGAAATTTTATATTCAATGTAGCACTGAATGTAATTGAATATACACTGAATATAAAAACATTTTCTTTGATAATTCAGAAAGCCCTTTTATAAAGCTCACCCAGTATCACTCATTTCCCAGTGAAGGAAAAATATGCCAGTAAAATGTTTATTATCACTCAGTTCCCAGTGAAGTAAAAATATGCCAGTAAAATGTTTGCTACTGTATGTAATTTAGATATGGCATCAAAAATAAAATCTCATTTCCCACCAAATCCCTTCGAGATTCTTCTAATTTTTTTTAAAGATTTTATTTATTAGAGAGAGAGAGAGAAAGCAAACAAGCAGGGGGAGCAGCAGAGGGAGAGGGAGAAGCAGACTCCCAGGCTCCTTGCTCAGCAGGGAGCCCAATGCAGGGCTTGATCTCAGGACTCTGGGATCATGACCTGAACCGAAGGCAGATGCTTAATCGACTGAGCCATGAAGGCGCCCCTCTAATTATTTCCTTTTCACCTGAAAGTTGGGCAGAAATAGCAACAGTGCATTGTTCTTACTAAAACATTAACTTCAGAGCCAGGTTGACCAGCAAGGGTCCCACAAAGTCTAAAGATAGTCTACGTAGCTCTGTAACTGCACTAAATGAAATGAAATCAGACTTTTTTTTTTTTTTAGAACAGCTACAAAAATTCCAAACATCACTTAGGGTAGAACCTTAGGGAAAAGAATGGTTACATTTCATTACAGGCGAAGAAAAGAAACTGTGAAATTGAAATGCTCATTTAATCACCTACAAAGACTCCTCTTTCACCTCTGACAACTAGGTGATTTGTTGTGATTATGGCTGCTTAACTCAGAAAACTTAATAGTGGCTTGATTTTAGAACTTCTGAAATATAAGTTCCACTTAGAATGTTGATGAACGCATTTGTATTTGGAATGTATTTTAATAAAACTAAACCAGTACTTTAATTAAATCTGATATACTCTTTTTTAATGTTCTACTCAGCTATTTGTTAAAAAATTTAATCATTATGATGAAAAAGTTCATAGAAAATAATAAGACAAATTATTTTACTGACGGTAATTATGACTTAATTGGTATATTATAAAACACATGTAAGCATGTCAAGGATTACTTACCATTTTCTTATACAAGATTGCAAGATGTTTCACTGTATAGGCCAAAGAAGGGTGATCAGGAGCTAATGCTCGTCTCCGAATGTCTAAAGCTCTTTCATAAAGTTCTTCTGCTTTATCATACTGTTTCTTTTCATTGCATAGAGCCGCCAGATTATTTAAAGACTGGGCACAGTCGGGGTGATCTGGTCCTAGGACTCGCTCTCTCATTTCTAAGGACCGCTTCAGAAACTGGTCAGCTGTTCTATGAACAAAACCCCAAAATGGTTTAAATAATTTGTTCTCTAGAAGTAAGAATCCTTAGCCCTAGTTAGGTGGAGACCTGAAGCATTTTTATTCTTAAATCCAAGATAGTTAATATGAAGGATGTGGCTCAGAGTCCTCTCTCTCCCTCTTTCCTACCCCTCATCCCTTCCTGCCCTTTTCCAAAAACTAAAAATGCTTTCCTGATAGTGTGAGGGCCTAAAGTATCTAGATGATTGCCTCAGTTTTCCACTTGACTTTTCCTAAAAGACAAACCCATAAATATTTTCCACACAAACTTCTGATACCTTTAAAATTAGGAGACCTAATTCAAAAGATTTTGGTATTCATTGTTTTTCCCTCTGAAGTTACTACGACATAATTTTTAATTGAAACCCCTTCCGAAGCCGGTTAAGTACCCAGCTTAAATTTTCTTTAGTTACTTTTACTGTGCCTCATCTATTTCATGTTTATATTTCATACCTTAAAACCATTCATAAAGAGTTAATATGTGGGGACTTACCATTTGGCTATAGAGAACAGCTAAGTTCACCAGGGCAGTAGCTGATATCCAAAGTATCTAATTTTTTTTGATATCCAAAGTATTAATGTCTTTTCAAATCTTTTCAGTCAAATAAACCGAAGACCAAAACCAGCAGTCATCTACATCCTATCCCTTACTCTCCCTTGGTGCCAAGTTCCTCTGTGAAGTCTCATGTACAGTATCTATACAAAACACTTTTTATAATCAGATAAAACATACTAGGGATGCTACAGAATAACTTTTTGGCCAATAAAAGAAACAATGTGACAGGAAACAGTAAAACAATGCCATGGCCTTTGTTCAGCATGGTTCTATGTTCATAACCTACCATACCTGAAATCTGGCACGGTTTCTATCAACTTATTCTAGCTTGACTTGATAGAAACGGAAAGCAGCTTTGCATTTAAGAGATGAAACGGACACTTGTTTTCATTATTAGCATCATGGTACTCACTCCAGGTTATTCTGAAGATAGTAGAGAACGCCCAGCTCATTGAGGGTCCGAGCATTGTCAGGTGTGTCGTTTCCTAGCGTGAGCTCTTCTAACTGCAGGGCTCGTCTACGTAAGAGGGCGAATCCATACTGAAGCAAACACAAATGGAGAATAAGTACTAAGTGCAGTCCTTGATTCTGAAATACTACACTTGAGTTCTAAGACATCTTTCTCCTTTTGTTCCCTTTAATGTAGATTACAGTTATTTTATTTATTTATTTTTTATTGTTATGTTAATCACCATACATTACATCATTTGTTTTTGATGTAGTGTTCCATGATTGTTTGTGCATAACACCCAGTGCTCCACGCAGAATGTGCCCTCTTTAATACCCATCACCAGTCTAACCCATCCCCCTACCCTCCTCCCCTCTAGAACCCTCAGTTTGTTTTTCAGAGTCCATCGTCTCTCATGGTTCGTCTCCCCCTCCGATTTACTCCCCTTCATTCTTCCCCTCCTGCTGTCTTCTTCTTTTTCTTTTTTCTTAACATATGTTGCATTATTTGTTTCAAAAGTACAGATCTGTGATTCAACAGTCTTGCACAATTCACAGAGCTCACCATAGCACATACCCTACCCAATGTCTATCACCCAGCCACCCCATCCCTCCCAGCCCCCACCACTCCAGCAACCCTGAGTTTGTTTCCTGAGAATAAGAATTCCTCATATTAGTGAGGTCATATGATACATGTCTTTCTCTGATTGACTTATTTCACTCAGCATAACACTCTCCAGTTCCATCCACGTGGTTGCAAATGGCAAGATCTCATTCCTTTTCATGGCTGCATAATATTCCATTGTGTATATATACCACATCTTCTTTATCCATTCATCGGTCGGACATCTTGGCTATTTCCACAGTTTGGCTATTGTGGACATTGCTGCTACAAACATTGGGGTGCACGTACCCCTTCGGATCCCTACTATCTTTGTGGTAAATACCCAGTAGTGCAATTGCTGGATTGTATGGTAGCTCTATTTTCAACTTTTTGAGGAACCTCCATACTGTTTTCCAGAGTGGTTGCACCAGCCTGCATTCCCACCAACAGTGTAGGAGGGTTCCCCTTTCTCCGCATCCCCGCCAAATCTGTCGTTTCCTGACTTGTTAATTTTAGCCATTCTGACTGATGTGAGGTGGTATCTCATTGAGGTTTTGATTTGGATTTCCCTGATGCCGAGCGATGTGGAGCACTTTTTCATGTGTCTGTTGGACATTTGGATGTCTTCTTTGGAAAAATGTTGTTCATGTCTTCTGCCCATTTCTTGATTGGATTATTTGTTCTTTGGGTGTTGAGTTTGATAAGTTCTTTATAGATCTTGGATACTAGCCCTTTATCTAATACGTCATTTGCAAATATTTTCTCCCATTCTGTCGGTTGTCTTTTGGTTTTGTGGACTGTTTCTTTTGCTGTGCAAAAGCTTTTTATCTTGATGAAATCCCAATAGTTCATTTTTGCCCTTGCTTCCCTTGCCTTTGGTGATGTTTCTAGGAAGAAGTTGCTGTGGCTCAGGTCGAAGAGGTTGCTACCTGTGTTCTCCTTTAGGATGTTGATGGACTCCTGTCTCACGTTTAGGTCTTTCAACCATTTAGAGTCTATTTTTGTGTGTGGTGTAAGGAAATGGTCCAGTTTCATTCTTCTGCATGTGGCTGTCCAATTTTCCCAACACCATTTGTTGAAGAGACTGTCTTTTTTCCATGGGACATTCTTTCCTGCTTTGTCAAAGATGAGTTGACCATAGAGTTGAGGGTCCATTTCTGGGCTCTCGATTTTCTTCCATTGATCTATGTGTCTGTTTTTGTGCCAGTACCATACTGTCTTGACGATGACAGCTTTGTAATAGAGCTGGAAGTCTGGAATTGGGATGCCGCTAGCTTTGCTTTTCTTTTTCAAGATTCCTCTGGCTATTCGGGGTCTCTTCTGGTTCCATACAAATTTTAGGATTATTTGTTCCATTTCTTTGAAAAAAGTGGATGGTATTTTGATGGGGATTGCATTGAATGTGTAGATTGCTCTAGGTAGCATTGACATCTTCACAATCTTTGTTCTGCCAATCCATGAGCATGGGACGTTTTTCCATTTCTTTGTGTCTTCTTCAATTTCTTTCATGAGTATTTTATAGTTTTCTGAGTACAGATCCTTTGCCTCTTTGGTTAAATTTATTCCTAGGTATCTTATGGTTTTGGATGCAATTGTAAATGGGATCGACTCCTTGATTTGTCTCTCTTCTGTCTTGTTGTTGGTGTATAGGAATGCCACTGATTTCTGTGCATTGATTTTATATCCTGCTACTTGACTGAATTCCTGTATGAGTTCTAGCAGTTTTGGGGAGGAGTCTTTTGGGTTTTCCACATACAGTATCATATCATCTGCAAAGAGTGAGAGTTTGACTTCCTCTTTGCCGATTTGGATGCCTTTGATTTCTTTTTGTTGTCTGATGGCTGTGGCTAGGACTTCTAATACTACGTGGAATAGCAGTGGTGAGAGTGGACATCCCTGCCGCGTTACTGACCTTAGGGGAAAAGCTCTCAGCTTTTCCCCATTGAGAATGATATTCCCTGTAGGTTTTTCACAGATGGCTTTTATGATATTGAGGTATGTACCCTCTATCCCTATACTCTGAAGAGTTTTGATCAAGAAAGGATGCTGTACTTTGTCAAATGCTTTCTCTGCATCTATTGAGAGGATCATATGATTCTTCTTTCTTTTGTTAATGTATTGTATCACGTTGATTGATTTGCGGATGTTGAACGAACCTTGCAGCCCAGGGATAAACCCCACTTGGTCATGATGAATAATCCTTTTAATGTATTGTTGGATCCTATTGGCTAGTATTTTGGTGAGAATTTTTGCATCCATGTTCATCAAGGGTATTGGTCTGTAATTCTCCTTTTTGATGGGGTCTTTGTCTGGTTTTGGGATCAAGGTAATGGTGGCCTCATAAAATGACTTTGGAAGTTTTCCTTCCATTTCTAATTTTTGGAACAGTTGCAGGAGAATAGGTGTTAATTCTTCTTTAAATGCCTGATAGAATTCCCCTGGGAAGCCATCTGGCCCTGGGCTTTTGTTTGTTGGGAGATTTTTGATGACTGCTTCAATTTCCTTAGTGGTTATAGGTCTGTTCAGGTTTTCTATTTCTTCCTGGCTCAATTTTGGTAGTTGATACATCTCTAGGAATGCACCCATTTCTTCCAGGTTATCTAATTTGCTGGCATAGAGTTGCTCATAATATGTTCTTAGAATTGTTTGTATTTCTTTGGTGTTGGTTGTGATCTCTCCTCTTTCATTCATGATTTTGTTGATTTGGGTCATTTCTCTTTTCTTTTTGATAAGTCGGGCCAGGGGTTTATCAATCTTGTTAATTCTTTCAAAGAACCAGCTCCTAGTTTCGTTGATCTGTTCTACTATTCTTTTGGTTTCTAGTTCATTGATTTCTGCTCTGATCTTTATTATTTCTCTTCTCCTGCTGGTTTAGGCTTGAGTTGCTGTTCCTTCTCCAGCTCCTTTAGGCGTAGGGTTAGGTTGTGTATTTGAGACCTTTCTTGTCTCTTGAGAAAGGCTTGTATCGCTATATACTTTCCTCTCAGGACTGCCTTTGCTGTATCCCAAAGATTTTGAACAGTTGTGTTTTCATTTTCATTGGTTTCCATGAATGTTTTTAATTCTTCTCTAATTTCCTGGTTGATCCATTCATTCTTTAGTAGGATGCTCTTTAGCCTCCATGTATTTGAGCTCTTTCCAACTTTCCTCTTGTGATTTGAGTTCTAGTTTCAAAGCATTGTGGTCTGAAAATATGCAGGGAATGATCCCAATCTTTTGGTACCGGATAAGACCTGATTTGTGACCTAGGATGTGATCAATTCTGGAGAATGTTCCATGGGCACTAGAGAAGAATGTGTATTACACTGCTTTGGGATGGAATGTTCTGAATATGTCTGTGAAGTCCATTTGGTCCAGTGTGTCATTTAAAGTCTTTATTTCCTTGTTGATCTTTTGCTTAGGTGATCTGTCCATTTCAGTCAGGGGGCTGTTAAAGTCCCCCACTATTATTGTATTGCTGTCAATGTGTTCCTTTGCTTTTGTTATTAATTGCCTTATATAATTGGCTGCTCCCATGTTCGGGGCATCGATATTTACAACTGTTAGATCTCCTTGTTGGATGGACCCTTTAAGTAGGATATAGTGTTCTTCTTCATTTCTTATTACAGTCTTTGTTTTAAAATCTAATTTGTCTGATATAAGGATTGCCACCCCAGCTTTCTTTTGGTGTCCATTAGCATGGTAAATGGTTTTCCACCCCCTCACTTTCAATGTGGGGGTGTCTTTGGGTCTAAATTGAGTCTCTTGCAGACAGCATATGGATGGGTCTTGTTTTTTAATCCAATCTGATAGCCTGTGTCTTTTGATTGGGGCATTTAGCCCATTTACATTCAGGGTAACTATTGAAAGGTATGAATTTAGTGCCACTGTATTGCCTGCAAGGTGACTGTTACTGTATATTGTCTTTGTTCCTTTCTGATCTATGCTGCTTGTAGGCTCTCTCTTTGCTTAGAGGACCCCTTTCAATATTTCTTGCAGGGCTGATTTCGTGTTTGGAAATTCCTTTAGTTTTTGTTTGTCCTGGAAGCTTTTTATCTCTCCTTCAACTTTCAATGAGAGCCTCGCTGGATATAGTATTCTTGGCTGCATATTTTTGTCGTTTAGTGCTCTGAAGATATCATGCCAGTCCTTTCTGGCCTGCCAGGTCTCTGCAGATAGGTCTGTTGCCAATCTAATGTTTCTACCATTGTAGGTTACATATCTCTTCTCCCGAGCTGCTTTCAGGATTTTCTCTTTGTCTCTGAGACTCGTAAGTTTTACTATTAGATGTCGGGGTGTTCACCTATTTTTATTGATTTTGAGGGGGGTTCTCTGTGCCTCCTGGATTTTGATGCCTGTTTCCTTCCCCACATTAGGGAAGTTCTATGCTATAATTTGCTCCAGTGTACCTTCTGCCCCTCTCTCTCTTTCTTCTTCTTCTGGGACCCCAATTATTCTAATGTTGTTTCGTCTTTCGTATTGCTTATCTCTTGAATTCTGCCCTCGTGATCCTGTAGTTGTTTCTCTTTTTCTCAGCCTCTTTATTTTCCATCATTTGGTCTTCTATATCACTAATTCTCTCTTCTGCCTCATTTATCCTAGCAGTTAGTGCCCCCATTTTTTGATTGCACCTCATTAATAGCCTTTTTGATTTCGACTTGGTTAGATTTTAGTTCTTTTATTTCTCCAGAAAGTGTTTCTCTAATAACTTCCATGCTTTTTTGAAGCCCAGCTAGTATCTTTAAAGTCATGATTCTGAACTCTAGGTCTGACATCGTACTAATGTCCGTATTGAGGAGGTCCCTGGCAGTCGGTACTACCTCCTGTTCTTTTTGCTGAGGTGATTTTTTTCGTCTTGTCATTTTGTCCAGAGGAGAATAGATGAATGAGAGAACAAAATGCTCACAGGTTAACAACGTCCCCAGCAAATATACTCTATATAAATCAGAAGAGACCTGAAACCAGGGGAAAAGAAAGGGAAAAAAAAAAAAAAAAAAAAGAAAAAAAAAAAAGAAAGAAAAAGATAAAAACAAAAACAGAACAATACAAAAAAAAAACAGAATATGATCACATATGATCAGGCTAGTGCATACATCAGTGCCACACACTAGATTTTGGGCGTATTTTGGTCTGTTAGAAAAAAGTGCCTCCTAAAATTTTAAAGGAAGAAAGATTTATATATGTACAAAATAAGGGTTGATACAATGAAGGGATGGAAGATGAATGTAAAGATGAAAATTATAAAATATTTTATAAAAGGAATTGATAAGTTGTTTGAAAAAAGAAAGAAGATTTAAAAAAATAATAATAAAAGGGAGAGAATGTGATCAGGCAGGAGACTAGAACAAAGCCACACACTAGTGATTTAGGGTATATTTTGATCTGTTAGAAGAAACTGTATCTCAAAATTTTAAAGAGAGTACAATTTATATATATATGCCAAAAATAAGGGTAACTACTATGAAGGGATAAAATATGACTCTAAAAATGAAAAATAAAAAATGTTTTTTTTTTGAAAAAGGGATTGATAAGATGTTGGTTGAAAAAGGGAAAAAGAAAAATTAAAAAAAAAGTAACTTTGAAAAACTAATGAATCATGGTAAAAAAAGCCATGAATTCTATGTGCAGTATTCCCCTAGCGCTGGAGTTCTCCTGTTCTCCTTGATAGGTAAACTTGGTCTTGGCTTGCTGCCTGTTCGTGCTGATCTTCTGGGGGAGGAGCATGTTGCCGTGGTTCCCAAATGTCTTTGCTGGAGGCGGAATTGCCCTGCCCTTGTGGTCCGGGCTAAGCGAGCTGCTCAGGTTTGCTCTCAGGAGCTTTTGTTCCCTGCAAGCTCTCAGTACAGCTTTGGAGGACCAGGGTGAAAATGGTGGCCTCCCAATCTCCACCCGGAGGAGCTGAGAACTCGGGGCCCCGTTCCTCAGTGCACCCCCAGAGAAAAGCAGTCAGTCACTCCCGTGTCCCCCGTCTCTGGCCGCACTCCGTGCTCACCCGGCCTGTGACCGAGCATTTCTATCTCTGGCACCCGACCCCGTGTCGAGTCTCCAAACCCAGCAGATCCCTGCGGTGCACTCCCGCGCCGCTCCTTCCCGGGGAGGAAGGGGAGTCTCCCCGGATCTGCCACTTGTTGGGTCCCTGCTGGAGGAGCAGTGGCCCAACTGGGCCGCGGATCACAGTTTATGGCGACCCCGAGCTGAGAGCCCGCACCTCGGCTCCGTCTCTGCAGCCGGCTTCCCCGCTCCGATACCTGGGAGCTCTGCTGCACTCAGGCACCCCCGGTCTTTCTGTGACCCCGAGGGTCTGAGACCACACTGTCTCACGAGGGTTCCACCCTCCGCTTGGCCATTGGAGCGACGTCCCTCAGCGGAGCCGACTTCTAAAAGTTCCGACTTTGTGCTCTGCGGCTCTATCAGTTGCCAGAAGCAGCCGACGGAGGCCCCCTCCTCCGCCGTCTATCTTCCCAAATATCGCCTCGGATTCACTTCGCATGTCCTACCTTCCAGTAAGTGGTCGCTTTTCTGTTCAGAGAGTTGTTGCTACTCTCTTCTTCGATCTCCTGTTGAGTTCATAGGTGTTCAGAATGGTTTGATCCCTATTCAGCTGAATTCCTGAGACCAGACGAGATCCAGGTCTCCTACTCCTCCGCCATCTTGCTCCGCCCCCAGATTACAGTTATTTTAAGTATCATATTGAATTAATCCAGTGGTTATTGCAAATGCACATACTTCCACATGGCATCACATTCTAAAATCCATTAAAAGCTGTTTCGAGAAAGTGATGATAGCTATTTTAGCAAAGTGAACTAAGTCCCAAGTGCTTCAAAAAGATCAGGACACAGAATTAACCTGCAGATATTTACCAATCCCACGGTTTAAATACTGAAAAACATCAGGTACTTAAATTGCACCTAGCACTTGCAAATAAATCTAGACAAATAAATCCTGGAGATCAAATGCACAGTACAGTGAATGTAGACAATAATACTGTATTAAAATCATTAAACTTGGTAAGAGATTAGATCTTAACTATTCCCACCATAAAAAGGAAACAATAATTATGTGATATGACAGAGGTGCTATCACTCCAATGGCAATTAGATTACAATATATAATGTACGAAATTAGCATGTTGTACACCTTAAATTTACAGAATGTTTTAGTCAAGTATATTTAATTTAAAAAATGTACATAGAATTTGAAGTTAAAACAGGCTATATTTAGATTTTATCAGCAGCTTAGAAAAATGAAAATAATTTTGTGTGTTTGTGCTCAAAGGTAAGAATTTCTTTGCATCTGAATTTAACATAATTAAATTTTTTATTTGCTTTTCCTTTAAAGAATTGATGCAGCTTTTAAGTCCATCTTCCAAAGTCTAACCTTCAAATGAACTTTATAGTTCCACTTTAAAAAAGTAAAAAAAATTTTTTTCCAAGTTCACTGAGACATAATTGCTATAAAACACTGTGTATTTTAAGGTGTACAACATAACGATTTCACATATGTATATATTGCAAAATAACCATAATATACAGTTCCACTTTTTAAAAGTCTGCTAAGTTTTACTTCTCAGTAATACTAATACTTAACATGTATTATGTGTAAATAAGAAAATGTTAGTACTTTTATAGAAATCACTTTAATATCTAAAGTTCTTAAACATATGAGGTGTATGCAGCTATATTATGATATTCAGAGATGCTCTTTTCCTCTGGTTCAAAACACAACACAAAAGAAATCTCTCATTACCGAGTTGCCTTTTCTCCTTGTAACCTTCTGACGAATTTTAAAGGATTTTTTCCTAAAATGTTCAGCTTGCTCATATCTTAAAAAAAAAAACAATAAAGTCAAACAAAAGAAACATACGTCCAAAGTATCATACTTCAGTGAAATGAAGGCATTCCTTACCTAGTGCAAAAGCTTTTTTTGGCTCTTAAATACAGCATAATTTCTAAAAATGATAGTCACATGGAATTAAAAATCTTTAACAAAAACCTTCATAAAACAAAATCTAACAAAACAAACCTAATCCTCTAAGTAGCTGACATTTAACAGATTTTTAACTGATTTAACTCACTCTGAATCTCTAAAGGATGACCTAACTAATTGAAAATCTAAAATTTTAGTTTGCTCTACCACCTTCTCCTGTACATGCTTATTTCTGGTCAAATATAAACGTGAAATTCACACAAAATTTGTGTGAAACAACACCTCTAGAAATTAAAAGAAAAAATTCCAATATGTATCATTTACGATACATGATTTCTGATAGAGGAAACGATGCCATTCAGTGTGTGTCTAATAGATATGAGACTTTTTATTATGCCAGGGATTGGTAAACTTTTTCTGGAAAGGGCTACATAGTAAATATTTTAGGCTTTGTGGGCCACATAGTCTCTGTTACAACTATGGAACTCTGTTGAATCATGGAAGCAACCACAGATAATATGTACATGAAAAAATGTGACTATGTTCCAATACAATCTTATTTACAAAACAAGGGGCCTAGTGGACTTGGCCTGTGGACAATGGTTTGCTGCCCTGTATTAGCAGTGCACTTAATATTACAAAGCTAGTTGGTGAAGGAGCCCAGATTCAAACCCGACTATATGACTCCAAAGTCCATGTTCTATCCTTCACGCATCTTCAAATGGAGGTGAATCTTGTACTTCTAATTTTCTGTTTACTCCACAAAGATCCAAGACAAAGAATAATCTTTGAACATGGTAGATTCAAAAGAATATTGGATAAGAAAAGTACACAGCCACAAAACAAAGCTTACCACATAAGTACATTAAGAACTGTGACTCCCCAACATAAAACCAGAGTATTACTGATCTAAGTCTTACTTATTTTGTTTCTGGTACAAAGTTGCCAGTGCCTCAAGTTCACGAGCAATATGCGGATGTTCTGCACCATAAGCATTTTCAGAGATTTCTAAGGCCTGTTTATACAGCTGTTCTGCATTGCCAAACTTCTTCCACTGCACGTACACACTTGCTAATTGGTGGAGGGACTGAGCCACTCTTGGGTGATCGGGATCTAAAGCTGTTTCTCGAATTTCTAGGGACCTCTGCAAAGGCACCACAGCCTAGAGAAAAAAAAAAAAAGCTTAAAGGCCAGTTCCAAGTGAGTGAAATGCTGTAAGATCTGCAATCTCATTAGCACAACAAATGAAAACTGCACTAAACTCCTAACAAGGAGAGAAGAGCAAAGAGGAAAAACCTACCTACATCTGACCCCCTGCTGAAGTTACCTGACTGAGGAGGCCTAGATCCTTGAGAAATCGCCCCAGGGTTTCATAAAGATCAGCCAAGCAAATCATGTTCTCCTCGCCTTCACAGGTTTTCTCATACTGCTTCAAGGAATCAAAGTATTCTGCTGCCATTGCGCTTTTGTCTTTGCCAACAAACTGCCAGTAACTCAGCAACTCGGCAAAGTGTCCTCTGTTTCAACAAAAAACCCAGTAATTTAATGAAAAACAAACTTTAAAACCCACTATAAATGCCAGAATTCGTATCAGGCTATTGACACTTTATTAGCAGGCAACTACAGTGTACAGAGAGGTAAGACTGCAGACTCTGACTCCCAGCCGAGGCCATCACTTCCTAGCTGTGTGATGGTGAGCAGGTGGTCTGACCTCCTCCTCATCCTTATCTGCAGAAGGAGGGTCACCAACCCGCCCTGCCTCAGGTGCTCCTCTAAGCCGAGGATGGCACACAGCAAGTACTCCATAATGTGGGCTGCCGTCGTTAATGTACTTACTAAACATCACACTGTGAGTGGGAGACCTCGCACTGCCTTCTTTCCCACTTACCTAATGCTAAATGCTACAGCTGAATCTAAGTCCATCCATCTTTCTGGGCCCACTCGATGTCCCTGTTTGCTAGCTGCTCTCTGCTCTAAATCTCATTTTTATCACAGCATTAGGGGGTTCTTTGGTAATTTATTTATTATGTAATACAACATTTATTAGTTTCGGGCGCACAACTCATGATTTGGTATTTGCATATATAGTAGTCCACCTTATCCCCGGTTTCATTTTCCCCAGTTTCAGTTATCGGTCATCAACTATGGTCCAGGAGCAGATGATCCTCCTCTGACATAAGGTCAGCAGGTCAACAGTAGCCCATGGCTCCATCACAGTGCCTACTCCATTCACCTCACTTCAGCTCATCACTGGGACATTTTATCATCTGACGTCATCACAAGAAGAAGGGTAAGTCAGTCCAGTAAGATATTTTGAGAGAGAGACCACATTGACGTAACTTTGATTATAGTATATTGTTATAATTCTATTTTATTATTCGTTATTGCTGTTAATGTCTTATTATGCCTAATTCATAAATTAAACTTTATCATAGGTACGTGTGTACAGGGAAAAATAATATATACAGGGCTCGGTATGATCTGTGGTTTTAGGCATCCACTGGGGATCTTGAAAGTATCCCCATGGGAAAGGGGGATCATTGCAAAATGATCACCACAGTAAGTCTAATTAACATATGTCCCTATACATAGTTACAGAATTTTTTTCTTGTGATGAGAACTTTTAAGATCTACGTTCTTAGCAGCTTTAAAATATACAAAGTATTATTAACTATAGTCACCATGCTGTACATTACATCCCCAGGACTTAGTTTAGTTTATAACTGGAAGTTTGTACCTTTCTACTCCTTTTACCAACTTTGCCCACTCCCTACCCTCTCCCTCTGGCAATCAACAATCTCTTCTCTGGATCAAGAACATGTTTGGCTTTTGTTTTTAGGTTTTTTTTGTTTTTTTTTTAGATTCCAGATATAAGTGAGATCCTACAGTATTTGTCTTTCTGTGACTTATTTCACTTAACATAATGTCCTAAAGGTCCATCCATGCTGTTGCAAATGGCAAGGTTTCATTCTTTTTTACAGCTGAATAATAGTCCACTGTATGTATATAATGTGCACACACATATACACACCACTGTTCTTTATCCATTCATATATGAATGGACACTTAGGTTGTTTCCTATCTTGACTATTGTAAATAATGCTATAATGAACATGGGGGTGCATATATCTTTTCAAATTATTTTGTTTTCTTCAGATAAACCCCCAGAAATGAAACTGCTGGGTCATATTGCAGTTCTAGTTTTAATTTTTTGAGGAACCTCATACTGTTTTCCACAGTGGCTGTCCCAAATTACATTCCTACCAACAGTACATGAGGGTTCCCTTTTCTCTACATCATTGCCGGCATTTGTTATCACTTGTCTTTTTTTTTTTTTTTTAATTATGTTATGTTAGTCACCATATAATACATCATTAGTTTTTTGATGTGGTGATCCACAATTCATTGTTTTCATATAACACCCAGTGCTCCATGCAGTACGTACCCTCCTTAATATCCATCACTGGGCTAACCCATCCCCCCACTCCTTTCCCCTCTAAAACCCTGTTTGTTTCTCAGAGTCCATAGTCTCTCATGGTTCATCTCTCCCTCCAATTCCCCCCCCCCATTTCTCCCTTCCTTCTCCTAATGTCCTCCATGCTATTCCTTATGTGCCACAAATAAGTGAAGCCATATGATAATTGACTTTCTCTGCTTGACTTATTTCACTTAGCATAATCTCCTCCAGTCCCATCCATGTTGATGTAAAAGTTGGGTATTCATCCTTTCTGATGGCTGAGTAATATTCCATTGTATACACCGACCACATCTTTATCCATTCGTCTGTTGAAGGGCATCTCAGCTCCTTCCACAGTTTGGCTATTGTGGACATTGCTGCTATGAACATTGGGGTGCATATGGCCCTTCTTTTCACTACATCTGTGTCTTTGGGGTAAATACCCAGGAGTGCAATTGCTGGGTTGTAGGGTAGCTCTATTTTTAATTTTTTGAGGCACCTCCACACTGTTTTCCAAAGTGGCTGTACCAATTTGCATTCCCACCAACAGTGGAAGAGGGTTCCCCTTTCTCCACAACCTCTCCAACATTTGTTGTTTCTTGTCTTGTCAATTTTTGCCATTTTAACTAGTGTAAGGTGGTATCTCAATGAGGTTTTGATTTGAATTTTCCGAATGGCTAATGATGATGAACATTTTTCATGTGTCTGTTAGCCATTTGTATGTCTTCTTTGGAGAAGCGTCTTTTCGTGTCTTCTGCCCATTTTTTGACTTGTTTTTTGGGTGCTGAATTTGAGAAGTTCTTTATCGTTCTTGGATATCAGCCCTTTGTCTGTAGTGTCATTTGCAAATATCTTCTCCCATTCTGTGGGCTGCCTCTTTGTTTTGCTGACTGTTTCCTTTGCTGTGCAGAAGCTTTTTATCTTGATGAAGTCCCCAAAGTTCATTTTTGCTTTTGTTTCACTAGCCTTTGGAGATATAGCTTGAAAGAAGTTGCTGTGGGCAATGTCAAAGAGGTTACTGCCTATGTTCTCTAGCATTTGATGGATTCTTCTCTCACACTGAGGTCTTTCATCCATTTTGAGTTTATGTTTGTGTACAGTGTTAGAGAATGGTCAAGTTGCATTCTTCTGCATGTGGCTGTCCAGTTTTCCCAGCACCATTTATTGAAGAGACTTTTTTCCATTGCATATTTTTTCTGGCTTTGTCGAAGATTACTTGACCATAGAGTTGAGGGTCCATATCTGGGCTCTCTATTCTGTTCCATTGGTCTATGTGTCTGTTTTGTGCCAGTACCATGCTGTCTTGGTGATCACAGCTTTGTAATATAGCTTGAAATTGGGCAATGTGATGTCCCAGCTTTTTCTTTTTCAATATTTCCTTGGCGATTCGGGGTCTCTTCTGAGTCCTTACAAATTTTAGGATTGTTTCTTCCAGCACTTTGAAAAATGTCATTGGAATTTTGATCGGGATGGCACTGAAGGTATAGATTGCTCTCGGTAGCCTAGACATTTTAACAATGTTTATTCTTCCGATCCATGAGCATGGAATGCTATTCCATCTTTTTGTGTCTTCTTCAATTTCTTTCATGAGTGTTCTGTAGTTCCTAGAGTATAGATCCTTTACCTTTTTGGTTAGGTTTATTCCAAGGTATCTTACGGTTTTTGGTGCAATTGTAAATGGAATCATTTCTCTAATTTCTCTTTCTACAGTTGCATTTTTAGTGTATAAGAAAGCAACTGATTTCTGTGCACTGATTTCGTATCCTGCCACATTACTTAATTGCTGTATGAGTTCTAGTAATTTGGGGGTGGAGTATTTTGGGTTTTCCACATAAAGTATCATGTCATCTAATCGCTTGTCTTCCTGATGATAGTAATTCCAACAGGTGTGCGGTGATATCTCATTTTAATTTTTTTTCAATTTAACAACTCAAAATTTTTTTGTTTTGTTTTGACCAGGATGAAATGATTAACTTTTAATTGACACTTTTCCTCCTGAGTCACTTCTAGAAGATCACATATTTTTTTCACTTTTTAAAAATTTTATTATGTTATGTTAATCACCATACATTACATCATTAGTTTTTGATGTACTGTTCCATGATCCATTATTTGCGTATAATACCCAGTGCTCCATTCAATACGTGCCCTCTTTAATACCCATCACCAGGCTAACCCATCTCTCCACTCTGCTCCACTCTAGAACCTTCAATTTGATTCTCAGAGTCCATAGTCTCTCAAGGTTCGATTCGCCCTTGATTCCCCCCCTTCCATTTTCACTTCCTACTATCTTCTTCTTTTTATTAATATATAATGTATTCTTTGTTTCAGAGGTACAGATCTGTGATTCAACAGTGTTGCACAATTGACAGTGCTCACCATAGCACATACCCTCCCTAATGTCTATCACCCAGTCACCCCATCCCTCCCACCCCCCACCACTCCAGCAACCCTCAGTTTGTTTCCTGAGACTAAGAATTCCTCATATCAATGAGGTCGTATGATACATGTCTTTCTCTGATTGACTTATTTCGCTCAGCGTAACACCCTCCAGTTCTATCCATGTTGTTACAAATGGCAAGATCTCATTTCTTTTGATGGCTGCATAATATTCCATTGTGTATATATACCACCTCTTCTTTATCCATTCATCTGTCGATGGACATCTTGGCTCTTTCCACAGTTTGGCTATTGTGGACATTGCTGCTATAAACATCGGGGTGCACGTACCCCTTCGGATCCCTACATTTGCATCTTTGGGGTAAATATCCAATAGTACAATTGCTGGGTCGTATGGTAGCTCTATTTTAAACTTTTTGAGGAACCCCAATACTGTTTTCCAGAGTGGCTGCACCAGCTTGCATTCCCACCAACAGTGTAGGAGGGTTCCCCTTTCTCCACATCCCTGCCAACATCTGTCGTTTCCGCCTTGTTAATTTTAGCCATTCTGTGTGAGGTGGTATCTCATGGAGGTTTTGATTTGGATTTCCCTGATGCCAAGCGATGTTGAGCACTTTTTCATGTGTCTGTTGGCCATCTGGATGTCTTCTCTGGAAAAAT